TCTCTGAGTTCTCTGTGCTTGACTGTAACTCTGGATAGATTATGTCAGACCAGAAAAAAAACGGAACTTGTGAAGATTGTGTGATTGCTGCCTATGTGAGTGCAAAATGAAGTGAAAAGAACTGTTAGTTTTTGGAGAGGTGGAGTGGGACCTGACGTGTGTGTCAAGCAAGTGCTGCCTTGAACATGTGCCCTGCTGCAAAGGAGACCCTGAGTGCATGAATGCTGAGCATGTTGTCAGGAAGGTCAGTACATCTTCTCCCAGCTGAGGCTAGGGGAAGAGAGACAGCCAGAGCTTCCTGATCGAAGGTGAGCTGAGTTAACAGAGCATGTGGGAATGCAGTTTCTTTGGTTTTGTTTCATCCATAAATTATCTTATCTTGCTGTGTAAGAAAATTGTGCTTGTTTTGGTTGAGCTTTTTGAGCTCCCTTTAAGTATGCGGTCATAGTTCCTGGGGATGTTGGGGCACAATTTATCTGGATGTGTTGAATCAGTCAAGAGATTTCTCAGACCTTCAGCCAACTTCTTCTGTGGGTGCAGATGACCTGTGGAGGCTGCCCTAAAAGAGTTACAGCTCTGGGGAAGATTGGGATGGCTCAGGAGGATCCAGAAAAGGGGTCACACTTAGCTCGGTATCTGCACAAATCCTTGTAGAAAGCAACCCTCTTGTTACCCTGCTGGCTTTTGGCAGTAGCAATAGCTTCTGTGATTTAAAGCATTCAAGATTAATTTTTCTGTGGTGTGAAAGCCCTTCCTCTGATCCTTAATGAATGTTAATATTGCTAACTGTTCCTTTGATGTGCAGTGAAGAGTTACAAAGCACCTGGTTTGCCTGAGCTTGGATGTGTACCCTCCTGCAGCCCGTGGCCTCTCTGTGCTCTGGCACAGTTTGCCTCTGTCCTATCAGTATTTCTGTGTTTTATAACCTACACCCTAGTTGCTGGTGTCCTACATGAGAAGTCACAGAATGTATTTTGCATAACTTACTATTGTACAGTTGGGGGAAATTGTTACTAAATTGTTCAGTATTGATTTTGCTGTTCCCCTCTTCCCCCAGCTGTGCCTGGTGTTATCTTTGAAGATATCTTAGGCACACTGCCTGCTGTAAAGTGTGTTATGTAGTAAGAAATCCTCATAGGGATTAGGTTGGAAAGTTGTGTATTTATGTCCTTAGTTATATCATATAAATTATCATTGGAAATCAAAACATGAAATGGAACTTAACATCATACATAGTTGTAGGACAGAAAATAACATTTTTTTAAAAAAAAAAGTGTTTAATTCCTATTTGCAGATAGGGCAGAGAGGGGAATGGCAGGAGGAAAATTGACTTTGGGGCAGAAGACTTCTCTAATGACAACATTCCAGAAAAAGGCAGGAGAGGACAGAGGCTGGAGCTGGATGCAGGAAGCATGGGGAGGAGTGAGGGGGTCCTTGGAAGACAGGGCTGTGTGGCTGTGCAGGAAGGAGAGGGGGAAGGACCTGTGTGTGGCAAAAAAGAGGAGAACAAGTGCTTGGCAAAGGCAGGAAGAGGTGATCATTTTGGGATAGGGTTGTGGCTAGTGACAGAAGAGGAAGATGGAGTCTGGCTGCATGTTTTTGTTCTAGTGCAGAGAAGCACACTTGGGTTTGGAAAAACCCTGGCAGCTTGTTAAATCCTGTGTTTTCCTTTGCCTTTTAATGCATGATCCTGTAAGGATCACTTCGTGTTTCTGATTGTTTTCTTTTCATAAAGGGAATGAGTGTTCCTGCATGCCCTGGGTCTGATGAGAGGCAGCAAGAGGCTGTGCTGGCTAAGGTTTGTGTTTGCTCTGAAGGGGTATCACTGTCCCCAGCCAAGGTGAAGTGCAGCTGTCTTCAAACTCATCACTCCCCCCACCACCCCTCCAGGCCTGGTTACACCCACCTGCCTCCTGATAAAGCCTGATCTTTGGGAAAACCTTTCCCAGTAATTGTAAATCTTGGAAACAACATTGCAATGTTGTTGCTACTTCAACATCTGTTTCCTACAGTGCAACCAGCTGAGCCCTGAGCTGCAACCTCTCAGGTGACCAGATTCACTTCTTAGGATGTGCAGCCCTTGTGTCCTGTGTTCCTATGACTGATCTTAATTATGGAACTGTTCAGGCAGGGTAGCCAGCTCCTGTTGGAGTGAAAGTACTAGCATCCTGCTCTGGTAGCAGCGTGATTCTCAGCACACAGCTCCAGTGAATTCCCAAGAGTGAAGAAGAGTTTTTCCAGCCTTGCTGCCAAAAAAGGCAAAGCAGCTTGGTACAATGCCTGCCTGCCACAGCAGGCTGCATGCTCCTCTCCCCCAGGAGAAACCCCATGGAGAACATGGAAGTAAGATTAATCCTCTTAATCTTCCAGAATCAGGCCCAGTCTGAAGGGTGTTGAAAATACTGACAATGGCAATAAAATCTGGTTAAGCTCCTTGAGGAGTCTCCTACAGAATCACTTAACCAAGAAGCAATTTTGAGGAAAATGTTGGTTAGATTTTTTCAGTGGTAACTCGTGACTGTGGCAGGAAACACATTTAGATATCTGAAGCCTTCAGAATTGCCTGAAAGATGACTTTGGTGGTCTCCATGGAAACCCATCTATTCTGTAGCTTTGTGGAGGACTTACACAAGAGTTGCTGCCTGGCTTAAAAAAAATACAATAAAAAAAAACTCCAACCCAAAGACAAAAAAAAATTTAAAAAATCAAATGACAACAAGAAAAACCACCAAAAAAACCCACAACAAACTACAAACAAAAACACAAACTCCCCACCAAAACCAGACCTGCTAGATCTGAATTTGGGGTGGTCCCAGGCATAAAGTGAAGCGTGGCCTTTAGCAGTGGGGGGCTGTTCCTGAGCCCTTCTGGAGCAGCTCTGCTGCAGAAAAGTTTGACATGGCTCTCTGTGTTGCTGACTGCAATGTAGGCTGTAGTGGTTGCTGCAGCAAGAAGTGGCTTTGCAGGAGGGACTCCTTGGTCTGTACTTACCTGTTACAAGTGAGACTGCAAAATGCTGTCTGGACTTTGCACATGTCATGTTGCTGTAACTTTCAGGTACAGAGCATGCTCTGGCTGCCAGTCTCTATTTGGGGAACAACTTGAAAAATAAATAACTTTTAAAAGAAATAACTCAAATTTTGCTGAGATTTAGGAGTTCTGGAATAGGGCAACTGGTTTCTAAATACTTTTGAACTGTCTGTAGTATGCATGGCTGGAGCTGGAAGCCTGAGCTCTTCTCCATGCCAAGAGCACCCTGTTGGGTGACATCTCTGACTCTTTCC